GTTTCTAGCATTGTAAGTCCGCAGACATACCGCTGTGCCATTTGGGGGGGGGGGGCGATCATCAGTTTATTTTCATGCCATGTGTGTTACACGTGATCACAGTACAGTTTATGACTGTTTTATTTTACTAAACAGTATATCTCCTAAATCATGGCAATTTCTAACAACTAACCTATCTTATGTCACGGTAAAAGTGGAGGAGTCTTGGGAACCTAAAACTACATGATTACGTTCAATCTAGGAATTAAAGACGTCCACCATAAACGCTGTACAAGTTATAATCGTTAATTGAACAAATTATATATATAATATAGAATCTTATTTAAAAAATGGACGGTACTAAAAATTAACTTTAGTCTGAACAAAAGAACAATGTTTCTATTTTTGAGACTACTACTACTACAGAACGTTCTGTTGTTGTTTCACAATATTTGTTTGTATTACGTGAAAACAAAGAAAAATACAAAAAAACTATCATCACAAGATGACATTGCTGTCTGTATAAATCCAATTATAATTATGTATATCGAGCTAATTCCATTCGAAACGTTCCACGGTATATTATAAACCCATCTTGAAACCTACTGCTTTCAATAACGGTATATCATAAACCCATCTTGAAACCCACTGCTTTCAAAAATCAATGTTTTGAAAAATATATATATATATCTCATTACTAATAGCATTAAGTTATATAAAATAACAGTTATTTTCTAAACTTTACTACATGTATATTTTAAATTTTCTAGTTTTTCAGTGGGCTTATTCAACGTTTTATTTTGGTTTCACTTATAGTACAGAACGATGTTTCATATTATAATTTACCAGTAAGTCACTTAATGCATACTTTTACCACTAATAAACAAAACTAATTTCAGCTAAAGAACAGGTAAACACGTGTGCATTGTCACATATTTTACTTTTATTAAAGATAACTGGCTAAAAGCATGTAAATACTACATTTCGACAAGTCCTTCACCTAAAAGATTATCAAAAGAAACACAACTGTAGTTTAAGGTATATGGTCTCTTACTCATGTAGCACAGCTTAAAGTTTTCTTAGTTCCAAGTTTAGTGGTTTAAGAAAGCAGATTCCACACTCAGATTATTACCATAAAATATATTAAAAAAAGCATCATCATCATCATCATATTAAAAAGGTCAAATCTCTAATTTTCACAATTAAATTGTACAAAACACAAACACCAGATAACAGGTAAAAATAATTATTTTCTATGTATGATCAGGTTTTTGTACAATGAGATTAAAAATCGGGAATTCTAAGCATTTTACTTGCAGGAAGATTCATCATCATGCTTGTCTACATATAGTCAAGTTTAAAACTTTTCCAGGCTAAGTGATCATAGAAAATACTAAAATTATATAAAACAGATCACAAAGAAAGATACACTTTAACCTTTCAGTCCTCTATTTTACTTATCTTTCAAATCACACTTATTACTCTCATTTTCTCCATAGTAAGTTTAATAACAAGTTAAAAAAGTCTTCTGAAATTTCACACATTACTTCTTAATTGAAAAATAGTTATGCAAGTCTGTAAATTTAAAAGTTTTGTATTTAAGAAACAGACTGCATTACATTTTTATATTTTAAAAGACAACCATTTCTTACCATAAAAAGTACTTTTACTAATATTTAGAGTATATTGGGATATTTGATTGATGAGGAAATGTTAAAATTTCCAACAGTTTGTTTCTGTCCAACTCTTCATGATTTCTTTCAAAAAAAAGATCACACTGTCTTGAAAGTAACTAGAAACACATTCTCTTTGATATTTATAGACTTCAGTAAACACAACTAAAATTCTTCTAAAAACATTTGCTACTGATTAATAATATTTCACATTTCTTCACTTCTGTAAAATGTGTAACTGGCTAAAATTCTGAAATACGAATTCCCCTTGCTCTACATTCTACATTAACGTAATAAATCAATTTATGTTGTACGATAATATTCTCTAAAATTGGAAACAAAACAGAAAAGATAGGTGGACTTATCAGCATACAAAAAATTCAATAGTAACATAAATGACATTAGGATTTTTTTTTTAAATCAGGCAAAAAACAGAAATATTCTTTTTAGTTTTGCACACTATGAATTTCTGATGAGATCAATACTATAATATAGAAGCTTACACACGTCTTGGAGGTAATACAACATCGCTATATGATACTGAGAACTTAAGTTTTGGCAGTTGCTGTGTACTATTGATACCGAAAAAAAATAAAAAAATGTTTAGGACTTGCATATCAAACGAATTTTAAATACAAATATGTTTCAACTTTTAATCTCTGTGTTTAAATGGCCTTCATTAAACATAGCTCATAATCTACTTTGGTTCCTTGTGGCTCTGTCTTTTTTTTTTTTAATTGTATCTTCTCCACCAAGTGAATATACATATCAACTCTTTATTTCTTCGTACAACTGTATAAGTGGCCCCATTTTGTATGGTTAAGACAACTGATTTCACTACCATGCATCTAACGTGTTTATGTTCTGTTTTGTTAATGAATTTCATGGAAGTGTTTTGGTAAAATAACTGGATTTTTAAAAAGCTGTTTCAGTTGTTTCAAATTCCCTTACAATCTCAGGTGATTTTTTACAATTGCATCCCCCCCCCCCCACTTTTAGCAATCTATCAAAACTATTTATGCTTCCTGTGAAGTACTTATTTTTTAACTGTTTATGGGATCAAAACTTTACATATTATAAAAATGAATGAACAAAAGATACCGTATTTTTCAGTGTATAAGATGCATTTTTTACCCCAAAATTTGATGTTAAAATCTACTTGCGTCCTATACATCGAAGGTATGAATAATATATATGTATGTATATATACGATATACACAAGCCATGTGTAAATATATTTAAATAGGCATGCATAGTTTAGTGATAAACGAAATTTCCGAGGAAAAAAAAACAAAATGGTAAGATCTCAAAAATAAACTGTACGAATGGGTTGTGGATCAGAGATCATAATATTGGATCCAATGATTCCTTTCCAAGCGACAGTG